AATTCGAAAATGTTTTTTGAAATGAAGACTTAAAAAGCATTTTAAAAATCAGTTTATTAAATTGGAATTCAAAAATGAATTTACAAATGCAGATTTTATTCTACAATTTCTTAATTAAGCACAGGATTTTTTATTTCGATGCGCGTGGCTCTTGTGGTCCTCCATAATGGACTGCTCTGGGACATGAACTGAAATCAGCTAATTGTAGCACAAGTGCACCGATAAGCAGGACCGATAGGCAAGCAGACTAACACTGGGAACCGTTTCTTTATCGGTTTGCTAAAATGCAAACAAATGTCATGCAATCATTCTCTCAGTTTCCCTATTTTAGATGCTGATGGAGAAATTAATGCTACAGTTAGCACTGCCCATTATTCTGATTGGGAATTTTAGGTGATAAAGCAATGCTATAGATGCTAAAAACCTATGTAGGTGTACTTCTCTCCTGAAACAAAACGGGGTCAGAATTGGTAAGGCAATCAATAAAGAACCAGATCAATATGCAGTATTGATTCTAATCAGTGGCAGAAACAATAACATTGGTACTGTATCAGTAAAAGTGCATCAATTCCTGTCCCTAGTCATAGGTCAGTTTAGCACAGGTTTCCACACTAGGTGGTGATGTTTTAAAAGATTTTTTTCCAGACCAAATAAGGTCATATTGTACTGTACGTACAAAAACTCTGAGGTTATTGGATTCAGCAATAGGGAATTTAATTGTGCATCAGTTTAACCTTTCATGAAAGAACATGAAGTGACAAGCTTGTTTTAGCACTTTGCAATCTTGACAACACACTAGTATACCCTCTAGATGCTCTAAATCACTTTACCTTTAGAAATCTAAAAGGAGCAAGATATATTCTTACAAAAGCTTTAATTGAGAGTTAATAGGCAATAAATGCAAATACCAAGGTGTCCATAATAAAACAAATATTTAATCTACTCGCAACATCTCCCTCCAATGAAAAATATAACTGTTGTTTAAAGTATAACTTTTGATTAAGTTAAAAACATCCAGTCTGTAAGAAGCACTTACTAACACTGTAAGAGTAATTCCCTGAGTAAATGAGTATAATGTGCCAGTGTCCTTTATGCCTTTTGAGCCACTGTCTCCTCAGCCTGAGGAGCTGCTGCTGCTGTTGGTTGGTTCTCAGGCTGCTCTGGACAAAGCTCCTTGGTAGGATCCATCACAACAGGCTCAGGCAATTGATAACACTTCAGCTGAGCTCTGAACTCTTCCAGCTCTTTCTGCTCCACCTCTCTCCTTCTGCTCAGCAGGTACAAGTCCACAGAAATCCTCCTGCTTGACTTCACAAGCCACCTCATTACCACACAGTCTGGGCAGGACGTGTGGAGGAAATACATGCTGAGGCTGAAACGACTCTGCACATCAAAGGTAAAACTGCTGCCTTCAGCTGAGATGTTGTACTGCAGGTATTGGCATTGATGACCAAAGCGGTTGATCTGGGTATAAGACAATGTTGAAGCTTCGCTGGAGTTGGAGAAGTACATCGTGATGCTGTCTCGACGTCTCAGAGCCTCCATAGATGGTGAGTGATTGAGACTGCCTGCGACTAGAGCCCAGCTGCCCTCAAAATGATGAGGAACCAGCTGATCCAGAGGGTGAACCAATCTTTCACAGACTGGAGGAGCTGCCTGGCTCCCACACATCAAATAAATGAGAGTGACTGCGCACACAGCAACCAAGCTGTTTCTTGAAGGTTTTCCCATTCTGTGGTTAAATGTTTGCCTTTAATTCTCCAATCTTTCATTTATTTTATTTTCTCACCAAGACTGGAATTCAATTAGCAGGCTTGTCTTTTTATAACAAAAACCTGCATCAAAAAAAATCCACCTTTTCAACACAGGACAGGTTCATTATCTGTTATCTAAATGTGGATTCCATTATTGTGACATCAAAGACATTTTGAAATAGTGGAAAGTTTTGTGATTCTTATCCACATTAAATTGAATTTTGAGTGGCGATTTTTCTTGGAACATCATGTCCAGACTTGAACTTTCTCTTTGTTTGCTGTAGATATTGAGCTGAGGCTAAACATTAAAAGCAACATACGCCAGACTGTCGGTGCTGACGAACTCTTTCACCAATTTTAAAATTCTATAAATACACATTAACAGCAGCAATGCATGCAATCATTGGTTGGAACTTAAGATAAAAAGGGCACAACTGTTGGCACTGAACTGAAAGTTGTTTTTTTTTTTAGTAAAATCGTCCTTTCTGTCTTCACCATTGCAGAAGATTTTAGAAACACATGTGTAAGCAGCACATATTCAAATGACACTTTAAATATTGCATATATTTTTGTTGTTATCACAGTAAATCTTGTCTACCAAAGAAAAACACATAAATATGGAAATGTTAAAGAGTAAATGTTGACCCATAATTATGTCACTGTCTTAATGTTGACAAAATAAATAATGCCTGAAAAAAAATCTGAATGTTCCACTTCTTCTTGGTGGTTGTTGTCTTACCTTTATTATTAACTAGATTATTGTGATGAACAGTGTTTTAATTATTGCACCATGCTAATGAATGAACAAATGCACCAGATGGAGAAGATGTTTATTAACAGGATGTACTGTAGGAAGTACTGACGTTGGTGATCACTTCATTAATTTGACAGTAGTGCAAGAGGCACAAATTGTTACCGACAAAGTTAAATATTATATCCTCTGCTCATGTCTGTGACTTGCATGTGATCAAATCAATTTTTCTTTCTATTTTTTTTTAGAAATATTACATATTGCCACACAAAAAGTTTGGTTAAAAATCAGATGGTTTCAGTGTAGCTGAACAGATTGGGCAGACGATCGATAGCCATAAGGCTATTGCAGAGACCTGGTTTTAAATCTGCCTGAGGCTATTTACTCCATGCCTTCCCCTGCTCTTTCTCCCAGCTTTCCTGTCTTATTTTCGTTGCCTTTTCTAAATCAAAGTTAAAAAGCTCCTTCAAAGATTATTCAAACACTTGAAGTAGATTTAACTTTTTTTTTCAGCAGAGGTCATTAGAGACTCTAATATGCTGATGTAATACGTCACGTTTTTGTCACTGGTTCAGTCTTAACCATGCAGTATGTGAGGGATTCTCAGATCTTCATGATGTTAAAATGTTTTTGACGTTAAAACTTAAGAAGAAGAAGAAATTACCAAAAGTCAGATAAATATACAATACAATGTTAATTCAATAGCCCCAAAATGTACAAGTATATTTTTTAAGTACAAGCATAAAATACCATTTGACAAAAGTTAGGTAAAGTAGAAATACCTCAACACTATACTTATAGAGCCTAAGTAAATACATCTGACATGAAAATAACTATGATTATTAAACTAGTTTGTAATAGTTTGACATGCTTACTTCAACTTGTAGCCTGTTAGCTTAGCTTAGCTTAAGAGGCAGGGACCAGTTATCTTAACTCTGTCCAAAGGTTACAAATCCACATAACAGCTCTTCTCGAGCTTATTATATTTCTACTTGGTTGAATCTGCAATGCAACTTTAAAAACAGCAACAGTTTGAATGAAGTTGGAATGATCTGATTACTTATTAGCAGGGATTAATATATGGAGTCTTTGTTAGTTGGGTAGAAATAAAACCCCAGCCACATAATCTCAATTTAAACACTTATTTTTTAAAACATATCATTTTTTTGTACAGATTTAATTAACAAACTAAGTTATTTATTACTCTGGTTTGCACAGTTCCTTATTAAGCTACTAAACAGAGCTATGCTAGCTAGTGGGTTTCTTCTGTTTTTTCATGCTGAGCTATACTACTGCTTCATATTTACATAGTTTAGTTTAGTTTATTTATTTATTTATTTTTTGAAAGGCGATGGAGATTATACTGTGCCGTGGAGGTTAGTACGGTGGCCCTGAGAGGCCAAATGGACTGCAAGAAAACACCAGCAATAAGAAAAACGCTGCAAAAGCACACAAAACACAACGGAAATAGGAAAAACGACAACGGAAATAGGAAAAAAGAAAACAGAAATGTTTTAGGGGATCAGTTGCAGGAACCAAATATGCCAAGAATTGCGCTGGGAGACACTTAAAAGAAGTGGAGGATCCATTGGTTTTGTGGGGAAAGAAAAGATGAGAGGTAAGTGTGCTAGCCTAACTATTAGTCTAAAAATCTGTCATCAGTATTATATGAATCATGATCAAACACACCTACCATGTTTTGGGTTCCTGCAACTGGTCCGTCGGGTTATTGTCTCCCCAGAAACACTTCCTTTGTGCTTTTGGAAATCTGTTTTTTCCTATTTCCTTTTTTTTTTTCTTTTTTTCCCTATTTCCGTTGTGTTTTGTGTGCTTTTGCAGCGTTTTTCTTATTGCTGGTGTTTTCTTAAGTTGCAGTCCATTTGGCCTCTCAGGGTCACTGTACTACGAAGCTCTCAATACCGCCAATCTAAATAACAACTGTTGAACAAAGCCTATATTTAAATTAGTAAAAAAAAAAAAAAAAATAGAGCAAGCAATTAATGAGGTTATACTATGGTGAGCATCCATCATCTGTCCATATGTCTTCATCCAAGATGCGTTCACTGTTACGTCACATATGTTGTTTTACCAGCAATAACCTGTGAAGGTATTGAAAAGAAGAAATTGTGAAATGTTGATTGTAGTGATGCAAGTAGATTGTTTCAAAGAGATTGATGTCTGTCTGTCAATGTGTATGATTAAGTGAAGTCCAACAAGATGGAAGTTGAAGGTCCTTAGAGTGTTTTGTATAATATGTGTGAATCTCTGTGAGCAGCTTAAAAGACTCTGGAAAATGATGGGCATTCAAATTTAAAAAAAAAAAACAACTGATAAAAGTTTAAACTTTCTGAAGAGACAAGCAAGGTAAACCTTGTTCCCTTGTTTTCTTCTCTTTTTAATTCTTGTCAAAAGAGCCAAGTATCACTAGTTATAGCTACTTATCCTTTAGAGGGTCAGAGGGTAAAAAACAAATAAATAGTCTTGAAATATTGTTATAGTCCACCTTGCATGCAAGAAGGCACCAGTTAAGGCTGCAAGTCCTGACATGTTTTTTATAAAGACCTTAAAACTGACTTTTTAAACTCATTTCTTCTTTTATTTGGGATACGTCAGCATTATTAGAAGAAAGTACAAAAGGGTAGTCAAACAAACTAAATAAACAGTCCAAAGAGTGATTTAGGAGTGGGGCTTCTGTTATAGAAACCCCAGCAGAATTATGAGGAGCAAAAGAACATTTTTTATCTTGCAAATGCAAAAATATTACATTTGACAAAATAGCATTAAGTCAAGTTTTTCCCTCTCCAGGAAAGAGCAAATCAACAGTCTAGACAGGCTGTGTAGGGGAAGGACCAGGTCAAACTGAAGTACCAGTCTAAATCAGAGACAGAAGTGCTACTTTCTGCTGTGAAGCTGTAAGACAGATAATAGCACTTGTCATCTAAATGGCTGACATGGGTGTAGGTATAGAGTGAAGTTTCACTAGAGTTGGAGAAGTACACAATCGTGCTGCTTCTGTGTTTCAGGTCTTCCAGGTCATGTGGGAGAGCCATGCTAGCTGCGGTTAAAGCCCATCTTCCTGGCAGAAGATGAGAATCCAGCTGATCCAAAGGCTATTCCAAGACTTCCGAGGACAGAGGAGCTGAGATGCTCACAGACATCAAACAGAGTGGTGGAAAACAGAGGAAACATGTCTGTGTGTGCAGAAATGATACTTTTAGGTGACAATTTCTCATTTAACTGTTTTATTGTTGCCCTTAATTTTTAGCTTTACTAATAATGCCACTGTTTTTTTTTCCAGTTTGATCAATATTTGCACTGCCATGTCCCGTCACACTGCCTTGTTTATCCTGGATTTAAGTAAGTACAGCTACAGATTGACAAAGTAAATAATTTTCATGTGTTCTTGGAATCTCGGGTGGAGGTGCAGCAACTGTGGGTTTTCTCAGAAGGGTTGGAGTTACAAATGGATAAATGAACATAGACTTCCAGAAAATAAAGTAACGTAATAAAGTAACACCTTGCCAGTGGAGCTGTCTCCTTTTACTAATCTTATATCCTTGATGATGTATAATTATTATAACCTATGGACACCAATCTTTGAACCTCTGGAAACCTTTTGTACTTTCATATAACATAATATTCCTTCAAAAAGGACAGTGGGTACCCATTAATTTACTTTATATTTTATATTATTAACATTATTTTTTCGTGCTACTGGAAATGGACTGGCATTAATTAAGCACTTTTTGTAGTCTTACTAAAAGCTTCACCTAATTCATATCCGTGCCTAAAGCTAATTTAGAATCACATATTCACCTCACATGGATGCTTTTGCATTGTGGGAAGAAATTGGAGCACCCGAGCAAGCCCATCAAGCAAGAGGAGAACAAAAGTCCTTAAAAGGTTCTGCAGCACGGCACCGCAATGCTGTTGATATACACTATATATGCAAAAATACTGGGCCACCTGCACATTACAGCTAAATGCAGCTAAACTACTTCCTCTTTACCAAGATGGCCTATAAGATTTTGTAGTTTGGAAATTTTTTTGCCAGTTCATCTAGAAGAGCAGAAAATCCAGACAGTGTTGTTGGTTAGGGGTTTGATTTAAGAGTTATTTGTGCACCACACACATTCTTCCACACCAAACACATCCAACCATGCTTTTATGGACAGAAACCAAGAGGCACAGACCAACCCCACTGTTAATATGGCCAAACGCTTTTGTACAGAGTACAAGACAGTTAAATAAAACTTTAACTTTTAGAAAACAGGAAAACTCTAAAACTGGGTAAGAGATTAAAATTG